TTTTAGTACTAGTTAAAAATTTAATTTTTAATTTTTTAAATTTTTAAATTACTAAAAATACATAGTGTTAAACTGTATTATCATGAAGAATTAAAGTGAATAGCATTGTATAAAAATCGTGGCATGTACGATAATTATATTATCTTGCAATTTTTAATTTTATTATTAAATTTTTAATGCAAAATCTTGCAATTTTTAATTTTATTATTAAATTTTTAATGCAAAAAATATATGTTCTTGATAATTGAGTTGTAGCCATGTTTGGAGCTTGTTTTTTTTATTATATTATCTTGCATATTTGTAATTGAGATGTATAAATATTTGTGATCATTTCAATCGAGTTGGGATTGTGTCGACTATATCATTGTAAATTTTATTTGTACCATTGTGAATGACTATATCATTGTAAATGTTTTTTGCGTCAAATATACATGTAGTGGCATTATGGATGACTATATTAATATAATTTTTTTCTTGATTCTAAGTGTGACTTATACAGACTTTTTTTTATATATAATGTTGTATAAATATTTTTTTTTTCTCAATAGGAACTAATTCATGTTTGTTGAAATGAAGATTTGTGACAAGTCTATATGTATTGGCATTGTGAATTACTATACTTTTGTAAATATATTTTTTATTGATATTATATCAATGTAAATTTATTGTTCTATATGTAGTGGCTGATATAGGCTATTTTTATCTATAATATTGTATAAATAAATTATTTTTCCCAGTAAGAATTAAAATATTTTTGTCAATAGAAGTATTATGCATTAACAACAAATATAACTTCATGAACTACCCTTACATATTATCACTACACATGGTGATTATTTTTCATGTTCAACTGTCAAGTTAATTTTTAACCTTTTACATTTTAAAGTTAAACCATGGCAAGATCTGCGGAAGACCCTGCAGGGCAACATAGGGTCAAACTCGATCCCAACAAAAAAGGTAAAATTATTTGTAATTACTGCCAAAGAGTGATAAGTAGTGGGATACATAGGTTCAAGTAACACTTGGCAGGGATTAAGAGAGATGTTTCTGCGTGCAATAGTGTCCCTAATAATGTAAGAAAACAGATGACGGTATTTCTCAAGGCTACCAAAGTTAAAAAAATTGTAAAGCAGAGGATGGATGAGGAGATAGCTAGTTTATATACGCCATCAAGTAGGAATGATCTAGAAGTGCAATATAATAATAACTTGAAGATGGCCACAAGAATGATTTTACATGAAATATACCAGAGGGAACGCAGGTTTAGAAAGCCTGGTTGTTGTGAGATGGGCACACATGGTGGGCCTAACTCAGACATGCATGGCGGGTCCAGCTCGAGCATGTATGACGGGTCCAGCTCAAATATGTACGGAGGGATTGGTGGCAATATGTATCAAGAGGAATCAGACGTTGAAGAAATTGTTTCTAGCTTACCTATGAGTGCTAGTATTGCAGGTCATGGTCGTATAGACCCATTTCTCTCAAAGCCTAAGTCAGAACAAATGACCCTCAAAGGCATGGTGAAATGTACGAGAAACATGTTGGGCAGATATATAGGAAAATGGTTCTACGATAAAGAGATCCCCTTTGATGCAGCCAATAGCCCATGTTTTCTACCTATAGTCAATGCAATCCAGAGAGCCGGGGCCAGGGTAAAACCCCCGACAGCATATGAGCTCAGTGGGCCAATATTGGATGAAGAGGTGGCGAAAGTTAGAAAGTGGATTGAAGAATATAAACAGACTTGGCTAAGAACAGACATTACTTTCATGAGTGATGGTTGGTTGAATAAAGTTAGCAAAAAGGAGTTTGTAAACTTCTTGGCCTATTCCCCAAAAGGTAGACCTTTTTTGTCTAACAAAGACGTATCATGGACGAAGAATGATGCAAACTTCTACATACGACTATATGATCATATAGTGGAGGAGGTAGGAGATAAGCATATAGACTAGTTTATTCCAGACAATGGGCGTGCATGTATTTCTACGGGCAGCAAGTTGATGGATAAGAGGAAGCATCTAGTATGGACCCCGGGTGCTGCACACAACATCGATCTGATGTTAGAAGAGATCGGTGAGATCAAAATTGTGAAGGAGACTCTACAGGAAGCGAGGTTGGTGTCAAGATTTATATATAACCATTCTAAAATTTAATTTTTCTTCAGAGAACAGTCTAAAAAAAAAAAGATAATCAGGCCTGCCATAACCCACTTTGCGACAGATTACTTGACTGTGGACTCCATTCAAGAATCTGAAGGTGCAATAAAGAGATTATTTACCAGTGAAGAGTGGTTAAATGACCGCCTCTCGAAGTCCAGTATTGAGCTAAAAGTGGACGGCATAGTTTCAAATTGGAGGTTCTGGTCTCGATGTTCTAGTATCGTAGAGGCCACTGCCCCTTTGGTCACGGTGTTAAGCATGGTGGATATTGACAAGAACGCTACCATGAGCATCCTTTATGAAGGTATCGAGAGAGCAAAATCAGCTATTGGGGAGAAGTGTAGTTTTGCTAGTAAAGTGATCGAGATTATAGAAAGAAGGTAAAACACCAAATTTGGACGTCCAATTCATTATGCAGGCAAATATATATTTATATCATTAGAATGTTTCATTGTAAATTATTTTTTTATGAAATTTTAAATGACATTTGTCTATTTATACATTTTCTAGGTTACTACTTCAACCCAAAATTTTTCTATTTGACACCTGAATATCCCCACAAGTTTATGAAAGGGGTCAGATACATTATTGTCAGGTTGGAGAGAAGTCATTCAAACCAGGGAGCAGCAATACAAGAGGTATTATTTAATATTTCAGTAAGAACTTGATTGAGTTGTTATATTTGTGAGGAATAATGCATTAAAACGAAATATTTTGTTTTAACTTGCTATGTATAGGGATGCTATAGGATCCTTCGAAACTAGACTTGTCAAAAATTTTTGAACTAAGATGGATCCAGGTTATCCCTTAACTAATATTTTGTTCATTCATATATTTAATCTTATGAATTGTTCTTGCCCTTACAATGCTTTTTGCATTTTAATCCAGCTGAATGGTGGGAGATATATGGTAGAGATGCACCTCATCTAAAGAGGATAGCAATCAAGGTGCTCTCCCAGACATGTTCTGCTACTGGCAGTGAGCGAAACTGGAGTATGTTCTAATGGTTGCACACTACTAGAAGGAATCGACTCGCTTTGGAGAAGCTTCAGAAACTAGTCTACGTTCATTACAAGTTAAACCTCCGAGAGCGACAAATAAGAAGAAAGCTTGAAGACTATGGGCAGATAGATTTAGACACAATATTTGTCACGGACACAACAGAACAATAGGTAGTAGAAGAAGAAGAGTCAGTGTTGGACAAGAGAGCATTCCTTGAGGCTATCGGTGAGGAAGATCTTGAAGAAGGTGATAAGCAGCATGAAAGAAGAAGCAGTCCGCCAACATATCCACAATTCGTCGAAAATGTCGGTGATATTGCACCTAATGAGGGAGAGTGGGAAGGGGGTCTAAGGGAAAATGAGAGAGATGATGATTCTGAGGCCACCCAATCCCAGCCAAATTATTTACGTATCGAGTCCTAACAACAAGAGGGTAGGGATGCGCATGATAGTGTAGGTGAGCATGAAGGATAGATATGCTTTGGGGATTTTGGATTATGATCATAACAAAACACTAACACTCAGGGATTTGGGTATAGTCAGGTGCCTACTAATTTGGATGATTCATTTTCAGATCGAGCCAATGAATTATTACGCGAATTCAATCAATGGCACCAGCATGACCAAGATGAAAAATGACGTCGTCTGTCATTTTATTTTTAAATCGTATGTTACGAATTGTATACTTTATTGTAGTTCATAAAGTATTGTAGTTACACAAAAATTACATGATAAAATTTATAGTTACGCCTTAATTGGATTGTTTAAGGTTGCAACTTTATTAGAAACCACACTAGGTAGTATGCATTCAAAAATTTCATATAAGAGAGATAGTACAACATAGGAGACACAAGAAAGACAAAGAGAGAGTTGATAATCCAAATCCCCATAATCAGAGAGAGAGAGACTTAATAATCCCAATCATGTGACCGAATCACCCCTGCTTAACATCAGATAGAAAGAAGGAAAAAGAGAGAGAAAGAGAGAGGACATCAATAATCCCAACCCTGTAACCTAATCACAACTGCCTAACACTGCATCTTCCTAATCCATAGCTGCATTTTCCTCAACACCCACCTGTGGACCCTCAGTGTCACCACCTTGCCTCTTGAGCAGCTCATTTAGCAGAGTCTCCATGGCCAAATCTGGGTCCTCTTTGCAGCCCATGAACCACTCTGCAACCTCAGCTGGTGTCACCTCAACATCTCTCAAAGCCTTCCCCACCTTCTCCATTAATGGGTGATCCTCCAATCTCACATAGTTCTTGGCCAAAACCTTGAAAGCCTCAAATCCACAGTATGATAAATGAATATGCAGGTCCATTCTACCAGGCCTAAGCAGTGCAGGGTCAAGCCTCTCCTTGTGATTAGTGGTAAAAATCATCAATCTCTCTCCCCCACAAGAAGACCACAACCCATCCACAAAATTCAAGACCCCAGAGAGGCTCACCAAACTCATGTTATCTCCTCTCTCTCCTTCAATTTCCTCCTCATCCTCCTCCTCCTCCTCCTCTTCTTCGGCCTTCGCCTTTGCCTTATTTTCCCTGTTCAAGGAGTTCAGTGAGCAATCGATGTCCTCAACAACAATAATCGACTTGCTGCTCGTCGAAGTGAGGAGCTTACGGAGCTTAGTATTGCTCATAACTGATCTCAATTCGAGATCGTAAATATCAAAATTCAGGTAATTGGCAATGGCCGCGATCAGGCTGGTCTTTCCGGTCCCTGGCGGCCCGTAGAGCAGATAACCCCTCTTCCATGCTCGGCCCACCGTCTTGTAATACTCCTTTCTATTCACAAACCTCATCAAATCATTCTTGATCCTTGTTTTCATCGAGGAATCGATCGCCAGGGTGTCGAAAGTCGACGGGTGCAAGAACAAGACAGGGGACCAGATCCGGCCTCCTGGGTCCGTGGCCCTGTTGGTGTAGAGCCTCATCGCTCTGTTTCTCATGGCCAACAAGGAGGCCTCAGCCATTACATGGGGAATGTAAAATTTGCTCACCATTTCTCTGTGTTTTTTGCAGAATGTGAGCTCAAAGTACCTGTCTTCATATGTTCTGTTCCCTGAGTTCTTCTTTGCAGTGTGAAAGGTCCAGTAAAGGGGAGCACCATTAAAGTGGTCAGTTATTTTCTGGTTAGAGTCCATGGAAAAAGTGTACGAGCTTGAGTTGTTGGCCTTTGTGACCTTTAATGTATTGGCCAAAGCATAGCATTTAGGAGAAAGATAGGTTTGTACTGATTCATAGGGCTCATTTAATAAACCAGATTCATATTCGTCTACCATGATATAAACATAGGGTAAGAGGAGGAATGAGAAAAATCTCTTACCAAACCTTTTAATAGCTTTCTTTGCTTCAAGGGGGACATAATTTTTTATCATCTCTCTGACAAACACAAATGTGGCAAAGAGAGAGCCCAGAGATCTCCAATCCATGGCTACCCCACCTCCTGGTTTGGCCTCTAATGGTGGAGATTGGAGAGGGAGAGGAGTAGTGAAAGAAAGGGGTTCTTCTTATTTCTTACAGAGAGAGGAAGAGAAAGTGACTATACTGTTTTTCTTGCAGAGAGGATGGGAATTGGGCTCTCCTTTAAATAGAAAAGAGCTGTGTACTTTTTTTTCTTCATTTTTGGTCTTTTCTTTATGGTCCATGCAACAGAATTTTCATGTTCGAAGTGGGACACACCTGCTTTTCAATACTTACAACACGGGACTCTCTCTCTCTCTTAACGCTCTCTGTCTACTTCCTCAAGCCCTATAATAGAGCAAAATTACGAAAGTGGCCCAACGCTCTCTTGAGTTGCAAACTTGTATTTTTTTTTTTGGGGAAGCTTTCGACTCTTTTTCTACAACATAAACCTCATATACATCCCCTTATTCGACCATCCATTCTGAATGGAGGGTTAAGATTGCTCCAATCACAATGCCACGTCTTGACACTATTTTATTTTTAATTTTTTTCTATAAACTATTTTGACACCAAATTTTGTACGTCAAATCCTCTATTAATCTCGCACTAGCAAAAATATTAAAAAAAATATTTCCAATAAAAAAAAATAATGCAAATACCCTTGAAAGTTTCAAGGGGTAATTTGGTTATTATATTTTATTGAAAATTTATTTTTTATAGGTGCATCCTAATGAGAATATGTCACGTACGAAATTTCATATTCATACAATTTGTATAACAAAAAACCAAAAATAAAAAACTTTTGAGACATCTGATCTAAGAACAAACGAAGAGTTGCTCTCTTGATCAAAATTGGACGGCTGGATGGTAGGGGAACTATAGATCTTCTATGCTGTAAGGGGAAATATAACACGATGTGGTAACTGGGTGTGGGAATACTACCACCACGACCGCAACCTCTTTCTTGAAACTTGCAAGTTATCTCTGCAAACTCTCTCTACTCTCGTCTCTCCCTCTCTCTCTTTAACCCCCAATTTCTTGATGGCTCTAAAATCAATATTCAACACCAACAATAAATTTTGAAACTTAAAAAATATCCAGATCTTACGGATCTATAAACACTTATTTTTAGCGTAAAATGGACAGTCTAGATAATTTGTTATAATATACATTTTTTTAGAGCTTGAAACGTTATTTTTTCTTCACTATCATAATGTTCAAACCAAGATGATCAATTGTCAAGGTTTTCCTAACACTTGAATTACAATTTTTTATGAGTTATAAGGTGAGGCTTTACTTGAGCCGTAGCTTTATCAAACTATTTTCCTTTTAAGGATAGAGTAGAGCGAAGAGAGAAACATGATAGAGATAGAATGATGGTTTGAGAGAGAAAGATATTAAAGGGAAAGCATTAGGTGCAAGAGGAACATCATCGGGAGAGACGATGTTTCGAGAGTCCCCGTGGAGTTGTCGTTAACCTTTCGTCTTTTCGATCTAAAACTCAAAACTCACATTTGCAATCAAAGAGTTTTTTCAATTATTTGGAAGAAGCTTTGGCAAAGTTTTATGTTGGTTGCCTACCTAACACAACTTACTCTGGTCACCTAAGCTTGAGAGGAGTTAAAAAAAAGTTTAAGATCGTCACCCCTCTTAGACTAATCCACTGTCTCCTTCACACAGGCAAAAATTGAGCCGGCATCCAAAGCTAGCCATGATAAACTCTTTACAAATGGAGTGGTTGTTTTAGATTAAATCTTCATAATCTGGAACTACTCTCTCTCCCTCATTAATAAACCTTTCCATAACCAGTTTTAAAGATAATAAAATAAACCCGAATATTTAGAGAGAAAACATAAGAGAAAAAAGAAAGATACGTAAGTTTCGATTTAAGGAGAAAGGATGGAAGGAAAAGGTGGCAGTATGAAACAAAATTGTATCTAAAAGAGGGGTAAATTGTACTTTCACCACTTTAAAAAAGTTCCAGGTGGAGTAGAGAGCCATCGAAATAAAAAGAATAAATTTATACTATTTGACATTTTAAAACTGTAGAATTATAGTGTATGGGCCGTCTATTTTCAAGATTTTATGTATTTATATATCTTATTGGTTTGAAGCAGTTTTGAAATTTAAAATTAAAAATAAAAATAAATACTTGTACTATTCTAAAAATTTTCGACATCAAAATTGACAAAGGAGGTGCACCTTGCTTTGATTGTATACTGTTGCAACCGTATGCAAACCACCCCTAAATTAAAAACCTAAAGGGCATGTTTTCTCGAAAGAAACAACTCAAGAGGCTTTTCTCTCATAAAGCATTTCTTTTCTTTTTTGGCGCAAAAGACAATATCATCAATAATTTGGATTTTATGCAAAATATTTTGTCCTTTGGGTAGATTAACTTCTCTATTGGATCAGAATAGCTTTATCCATCTCAAAAATTGGAGGAGCCATCCCAATTCTCTGAATGCATTCTTACTAGTCAATTTTAAGAGAGAAACAACTGGTTCTATCATGGGACCGGTTGACCCGGTCCCATGTTTTATTTTTAATTTTCTTATTTTTTATTATTCTTGATTTTTTGATATTTTATTGGCCTTTCTCTCAACCAGATCACCAATCCAGATCAGCGATTCACTAACCTAAACGTAAACCGGTGAACCTCTCCAGGGTTAAAAATATGGAACCAAACCTCAACTTTTATATATGAATTAGCCATTTTAGCATTAGAATGTTAAACCAAAATGTACATTGGGTGACCTAGGGGTGATGAGTAAGGTGGTCACTCTGTTTTCTATCCTCAAATTCAATATCAAATGTTGTTCCTTTTTTATCAAACAGTTGGTACCTATCCATAAACACTCTCAAACCCTGAAGCTCCAAAATTTGGCAAAGATTGTGTTGGGTTCAATTGTGAAGTGCAAATCCACCTAGAACTTTTTGCCAACTTGGAGTAACTTTTCTTGATTCTCAATCTCTAAGTTAGACACCTGTTTGGACCACAAAATTTTGAATTTCTTTTTTACTTCTTTGATGTTGAGATAAGCTTGAAGCTTTTCACATCAGTCTACGTTGACGGTGGGCCCACTTTTGGATATTAATTTTTACATGTCGCCTGTACGTTAACATAAAGCGGGCTCTCTCTTCTGGGAGCATATTGTATATTTTGGAATCTATCTAAAAATCAATGAATTATTGTTTTCAAGAAAAAATAGATTTTGAATTATTCAACAAACTTAAATGGTGCTCTCAAAAAATCGGATGGTCCTTTTTCAATCTTTGGGATGTTAAATTTTTAAACATATAGAATATGTGATTTTATTTTTTTTGTTTAAGGTTTGTTGCTGGGTTTAAGAGATTACTTCCCCAAAATTTGGGTTACTAAAAATACTTATGGCTGTAATTTTACTTGAGGGAGCGATTGGACATTATGCTTCTACATGAGAACACATCTTTTGCCAAATATGATTTTTATTGAACTAAAATATGATATGCTCAGCCTATCTAAAGATTTAATCTCTCGCGTAAAACCCTACTTATGAGTATCACAAATTTTGGAGATATAACCTCAATTAAAAGGATCAACCTCACAAAGAAAAAAAGAAAGATATTTCGGATGCCACATATATGTTGTCAAAATAAAGTTTTAAATTAAAGAGGGGAATTCTCAATTTCTGATGATCTGATCTAAATGTTTAGTAACTTAAAATTGAATTTAAATTTCTTTTGAAAATATCCAATTGATGATTTTGAAATGGATTCCAAAATTTTAAATCGAAAAATTTTTTTGAATCTTTTGCGTAGATTGGAAATACATGGTACTCCTACATGCACTCTTACTATTAAATATTCATGTTAGTGTTTAGTTGTTAATAATTGTAGGAGTTTTAGATGTGCTTAAATATGGCTCTAGAGAAAAAAAGCAAAAAAACAAAAATCTTGAACTTAATTGATTAGTACTTGATGAATTGCAAGGCTAGATGATCAATTCTTACAAAAGGTAGGAACCCTCTCCCCACTAAACTCAATTTCTACAAAAGGTAAGAGCCTTCACCCACTAAATCACCGAAAAAAAAACAAGAAAAAACAAAAACAGAAAAAACAATACGACGGAAAAGTACCATTCTCCCATATGCAACTGTTTTTTTATAAAAACACCACCTTATTTTAGTCAAAAGGAAATAAGGTAAGTGGATGCATGCGTGCTTTTTTTATGTTGATTCCAAGAACATGTGTTTTCTCCTTCTTGTTTTCTTTTTTAATCATGTAACGCCATCTTTGCCTGGATAAATTACGTCATCTTTAGTTGGAGACGGGTGTATTTATTATTGGTGGCAATGGGTTGGGTCCACTCATTGGGACAATGGGTCCGGGTATTGGGTCGGTCGAGGCGGGTCAACCAAGTATAAAATATACAATTATATATTATATATTATACAACATATAAAATAAATTTTTTTAAACTAAATTTTATTTTTTATTTTTTATTTTTGGATCAGGTCTAATTCCAAATGACTTGGACCCAGCCCAAATTTGATCGGGTTCAGATCTGATTCTGGTCCATAATAAACATAATTGGGTCTGGTCCGGGTTGGGGCCGACCCCCACCCCATGTATTAAGACCTTTCCTCAAAAACCAAAGGAAAATGCAAGAAAGAAAAGGGTCACCACCTCTTTGGTCTTTGGCCTTTGGTCATTGAGATACATCATCTTGGTGATAAATATAAAATAAAATTGCTCAGAAACGGAAACAAGGGAATTGAGTTGGTCGATTTAAGCAAATGCATAGTCATACATTTGGTGGATAGTAGATCTAGGCTTTCTAGTACTTAAAATCTATTTTTTGTAAAAATATTATTTTAAAGTTAAAAATGTTCTACAAAATTTCAGCCCAAAACAACTTCTCTAGCTTTATATTTTGGAACTCAGCTTATTTTGTAGTTATAAGCCTATTAGCATGTAGGATTGTATACAATGAGACTATTTATCTGTGATACAACGAGGTCACAATTATTTATAACCATTCGATGTGAAATTCGATAACTTGAGTATGTTGCAAAGTTCGAAAAAATTTCTTTTAAAATTTGAGCTTAGTTAATAGAATAAATACAGATTAATTATGATCACCTTATACTAAAAGTAGATGATTTCATTGTATACTTTTCCTTAACTTATAG